GAGCTGTATCCCCACCCCCATGGAACCAAGAAAGACATCCAGGAAGAAGACAGCTCTCGGTCCTTGGGGCAAAGTCCACCTTCACAGTAGTCTTGGGTTGGGCTTCTTGAGCCCCTGTCATCCCTTGAGACAAGTTCTCTAACAACTGGTTTCCTTGTGACCACTCCTAGGCTACATCTTGGTGATTCTGATATGGGTTCCAGCAGGGTGGGAAGGACAAATGGGAGACCCAATGCCAATTTCCCAAAGGATGCGTTCCTGTGCACTCTTTTTATAATGTCCCTCTCAGAGTGCATGTATGTGGATGCCACTGGGAGAAAGAAGCCATTTGGCCCTCGATAAAAGGAAGGACTGGGTGTGGCCTTCACTCTGGATCCCCTTGGCAGGGATCTGGACAGTGTGCTGGTAGAACAACTGAGCAGACTGGGATTGCAAAAGCACATTTTGGTGACACCCCCAGCAACCTCCCAGCCCCCTGCACGCTTTGGTAATTGCTCCCTAAGTCAGGATTGCTCAGAAGCTCAGTGATACAAAGTGCTTATTAGCTAAGTAGTTAATAAGGTCTCATTAGGGATTTGTATTTAAAGCCTTAGAAAGTATAGTCTCAACCTCTGCCACATGGTGGGTGGGGGGTGTGATCGGGGTGCGTGGGTGTCTTGGCATCGCCTGGTGCCTTTCTGGGACAGAACCCTGGAGCAGTTCACACACTGGACCAGTGGAGACAGCTACCCATGGGGCTGGGTGGCAAGGCTGAATGGGACCCCCTCTGCCTTCCCTCTTTATTTTGATCAGGGCTGTTTTCTCAGCCTTTATCTGAGTGGCAGAGTTGGGGGCCCCATCTGGGGATCCAACATCAGGCCAACAATGGCTTATTGTCCTGAGCCAACACACCTGAACTTTCCTGGAAGCAAGAGTCAAGTAGCTTGGCATTTTTAGCCTTCTGAAAATGGCAGAAAGCATGCTTCCAGCAAAATCCTAATCTCCCTCAGGCCAGACCGGCATGATGGGGGCAGGGCTGGGATGGCCTGGCAGCTGCTGCTCCTGAGAAGTAGCAGGCTTTGTAAGTCTGATGAGACCCCATCTGCCAAAGCCTGAGGGATCAGATACCCCTCCCCACCCCTCCCCCAGGCCCGAAGCCACTTCTCGGCAGTTCCCAAGAGCTGCACATATGCATCATGGAGTGACTGCTCCAAAGTTGCTCTTAGCGTTGACTCCCTTAATATGTCAGGAGAAAAGTCTCCTGGGCCTTGTCCTTCTCGCCAACTGCTTGGCATCCCTCTCCTGTTTATCCTGAGAGCACCTCTGCTTTTGCTTGAATCCAAAGAGTTAGCCTGAGATGCAGAGGGGACTCCTCAGCCAGGAACTGGGGAGCTGTGCAGACCCCTGTCCTTTGCTTCTCTGATCCTAGACCCTCATGCTTTGTATTCGAGGCTTCCTATTATGAGATTAGATATGGCCTCCCAAGAGCAGTCTGGGGTTTATATGGAGGGCATCATTTCACCCACATTGTGGTCCTCAAATGTATCAACCTTTGCCCAGAGGTGCTGCAGCCTGTGGTGCTGCTTGACCTGGCCTTTCCTCCTAGAAGCTGGATTTGGAGACTAAGCAGGGTCTGGACCCCCTCTTCCTCCAGAGTCCTATGCTCAGAAAGAAAATCACAGGTTTTGCATGCTTGACTCCCCTAAGCAGAGGGCAGCGTTCTGCTGCGTCCTCTTCCTGGAGAGGGAGAACAAGTTGGGGTTTGCTGAGGGCTGGATGCGTGATAGTGCCTGGTCCTGCTCCAGCTGCCAGCCTCGCCCCTTCCCCAGCTCCTCAACACACTGGTGGGATCCAGACGTTTGTAGGTTCAGGAGCACGACACTCAGATGAGGGGTGTTCCAGACCCATGTGGAGCTGCTGCCTCTCCCACTCTGGGCTGGCTTTGCCCAGCACCAGCTCTGGGACCCATGTGGCACTGCCATTGAGCCCTCCACTGTGCTCTCCAAACAGCCCAGAGTAGCCCAGCCACCCCTTCACTCCAGCCACTGCTTGTTGGCAAAGTGTTCCATGGTCCTGCCCGGAGGGACTCAGACATGGGTGCAGCTCTGTGGGTACCCAAGAGTGGAGGACTGAATCCAGAGAAGGGAGGAGTCAAGCTTACCTTGGCCCAGCCCTACCATGCACCATGCACTCAGTCCTTCTCACAAATCCATGGGGTAGGTGCAACTGCCCTCATTTTACTAAATGAGAAAATAGCTCAGAACCTGTCAGAGGTGAAGTTGGGCCCTGCCTGTCCCCATGGCCACTCAGCTGCAGCCACAGCCCTCCCAGGTGATGGGATCTCTGGAGAAGGAGGACTGCAGATTTTCCTTCTGTCTATGAGAGAGTGGCTCCTGGTTTCCTTTTCTCCTTAGCTTGGCTTCTCTGTCTTACAAACTTTTGCACAGACTTTTGCACACACAGGTGCAACACAGGCCTGTGGGTAATTATTAGCCCCAAAGAGTTCAATTCCCCCTGCCCCTAATGAGACAGGCTTGACGGCCAGAGCTGGGGTCGGGAGTCCTGAGAATAGTTCTGAACCTTGCACTTATATGGTAAATGATCTCAAGGAGATCCCTTCCCCTCTCTGGAATCCATTTTGTTTAATAATTGACATTATTCCTTTTGAGATGATTTGACAATGTCAAAAGATGGGAAAATATAATTAATATGTTGAAGGCACATTGATTTGAGAGTCTTTAAAGTTATGCATGACAGTGGAATCCATTTTGATATAATTGTACAAGCATGGAATATAGCTTCTAATTAGGACCACTTTCTTGTGGATGACACAATGGTGAAATTCATTGTGGTGTATTCATAAAGGTTCATAGAAAAATTATTTCAGGTTCATTCTGCTGTCTTTCCTTTTCTATTCCCATTTCCTTCCTTTTATTTCCCTTTGTCTAATCTACTGAACTTCTATTCTGGCCCTCCCCACCCTTATTATGGGTTAGCTTCCACATATCACTGAAAATATCCAACCTTTTGCTTTTGGATATTTTCACTTAGCCTGATCGTCTCCATATCCATCCATTTACTTGCAAATATTATAAAGTCATTTTTCTTTATGGCTGACTAATATTCCACTTTGTGTGTGTGTGTGTGTGTGTGTGTGTGTGTGTGTATGTATGTGTGACGTTTTCTTTATCCATTCATCAGTTGAAGAGCACCTAGGTTGGCTCCATAACTTAGCTATTGTAAATGGAGCTGCTATAAACATTGATGTGGCTGTGTCACATATTACATGCTGATTTTAAATCCTTTGGATATATACCAAGGAGTGGGATAGCTGGGTCAAATAGTGGTTCCATTCCTAGTTTTGCAAGGTATTTCCATAATTCTTTCCAGAGTGTTTGCACCAGTTTGCAGTCCCACCAGCAATGCGTGAGTATATTTCCCCCACCATACATCCTTGCCAACATGCATTGTTACTTATATTCTTGATAAGTGCCATTCTAACTAGAGTGAGATGAAATAAGAAAGGATAGCCTCTTCAACAAATGGTGCTGGGAAAAGTGGAAATCCATGTGTAGTAGAATAATATTTAACCCTATCTCTCATCCTTAATCAACTCAAAGTGGATCAAAGACCTAGGAATTAGATCAGAAACCTTGCACATACTGGGAGAACATCTAGGCCCAATATTACAACATATGGGCTCAGAAACGAACTTTCTTAACAAGACTCCTAAAGCGCAAGAAGTAAAATCAAAAATCAATAAATGGGATGACATCAAACTAAAAAGCTTCTTCACAGCAAAGGAAATAATCAAGAATATGAAGAGCTGAGCTTGGTGTTGCATGCCTGTGATCCCAGCGACTTGGGAGGCTGAGGCAAGAGGATCACCAGTACAAACCCAGCCTTAGCAACTTAGTGAGGCCTAAGAAATTCAGTGACACCCTGTCTCTAAATAAAATATTTTAAAAGGGCTGGAGGTGTGTCTCAGCAGTTTAATCCCCTGGGTTTAATCCCTGGTACAAAAAAAAAAAAAAAAGAATGTTAAGAGAGAGTCTACAGAATGGGAGAAAATCTTTGCCACCTGCAACTCAGGGCATTCATTTCCAAGATATTCAAAGAACTCAAAAAAACTTAACACTAAAAAAACAAACAAACAAACCCAATCAATAAACGGGCAAAGGTACTAAACAAATACTTCTTAAAAGAATAAATACGAATGGTCAATAAATACATGAATAAATGGTCAACATCTCTAGCAATTAGAAAAATGCAAATTAAAACTACTCTTGAGATTCATTTGCCCCATTTGGGCAGAGGCTCAGTGAATCCCTGAAGGCCTGGCACCCCCAGTGGATGTGGTTCTGCCAGTCACTTGGCTCACCCAGGGTTGTGGGGAGGTTTTTCTTAATATTTTTTCCAATTTTTTATTGTGTTAAAATACACTTAGCATAAAGCCATCTTAACCATTTTTCATTATACACTTCAGTGATACTAAGTAACTTATAATGTTGTGTAACCATCATGACCATCCATCTCCAGAACTCTGTTGATCTTATAAAACTAAAACTGCACCCGTAAAAAAAATGTGTCCCCTGGGGGCTGGGGTTGTGGCTCAGTGGTGGAGCATTTGCCTAGCATGTGTGAGGCACTGGGTTTCATTCTCAGCACCACATATAAATAAATAAAAGTCCAACACAACTAAAAAATAATTATTAAAAAAAAAAAAGTTTCCCCTGGCAACCACTATTCTGTCTCTGTGATTTTGATGACTCCAAGTACCTCAGAGAGGTGGAGTCTGTGTGTGTGTGTGAGTGTGTGTGTGTGTGTGTGTGTGTCTTCTTTCCTCTCTCCATCTCCAGATGCTCACCTCCTCCTCCTGGGTGGCTTGCCTCTCTGGGACATTGGGTGCTGTTGGCATGTGGGTTCGGAGCGCTGTCACCTCCAGCCTTGCTGCATTTTCCTTCTGGGTGCTAACTGGCCTCTCTTTTGTCTCTGTCCCCTCCGACTCTGCTACTGGTTAGCTGACGGTAGGGAAAGTGTCCAGCGGAATAGGGGCTGCAGCTGAAGTCCTGGTCAATCTGTACTTGAATGATCACAGACGTAAGGCCCAGGCCACCTCTCCAGACCTGGTAAGGACATGCGCTCTCAGCCTTCACCTGCAGACACCGGCCCTGGCCTCCTAGGGGGGAGCATGGGCGGTGGAGAGGACGGCCCAGCCCCCTGAAAGCTCCCCTTCTCTGGGAACAAGAGAAACGGATGGGCCTGAGCAGAGGCGCGAGGGAAGCCGTGCCGCATTTCCTTAAAAACGAACTTCACTCAGGTCCTCTGTGGGACTGTCTGTGGCTCTGGAGAAGGAGGGTCTATGTTGCCAGTGTTTGGTGCCGACCTGAATGGCCCTGTGTGTTGGATGGGGAACCGAGTAGTGGAGAGAACACGAGAGTTTCCCCCTCGTTCTCCCTCCTCACACGAGGCTGCTCGCTGCCACCACCAGCCACGTGCATTGACAGTTTGTCTCCCCTTGGCACATTGTCTTGGAACTGCCCAGGGCTGGGCTGTCCTGGCCCACATCTCCCCTCTACCTTTGCCTGTGATGGTTTGTCAGACTCAAGTTCTCCCTTACTGACACTCTCTTGAGCAGACTCGAGGCCACCAGCTTTCCTTGTCTGACCTAGTCACTGCAGAGAGCAAAGACATGTAGAACATCCTCAGTAGGGTCGTGTCAGTAACCCCCTCTGGAGCCAGTGATGTTTTTCTCCCATAGAGAACATCACTGGGCAGACATGCTTGTGCATGGCATCATGACACCTGCTCCATCGGACCCTCTCACCCAGAGCCACAGCAGCCAGTCTGGGGGAGAAGCCCAGTCTCTCCCCAGGGACAGATATCAGGAACCTCTACCTTTGCAGCAAAGATGCGAGCGGCAAACCAGAGTCCAAGATGTCCCCGTAGTTGAGTTTGGAGTTTCTCAGCACCCAGGCCTGGCCCCTAAAGACTCTCTGGACCTCACGCACTGTTCCTCTGTTCCGCCCCAGGAGTCCGTACGGAAGGTGTTCCCACTGAACCTGGGTGGCAGCGACACCTGCTATTTCTGTAAGAAGCGAGTGTACGTGATGGAGCGGCTGAGCGCCGAGGGCCACTTCTTCCATCGCGAGTGCTTCCGCTGCAGCGTCTGTGCCACCACCCTGCACCTGGCCGCCTACACCTTCGACTGTGATGAAGGTAAACCCCCCCACAGCCAGGAGGGCACTGGCTCTGGCCTCAGCTGTGACCCTCCCAGCCCTGAGGAGGTTCTGGGACACCCAACCCTTCCCAGCGGGGAGTGTGAGTTGTCAAGAAAGCTGTTTAGAGAACCTGGGAGCTCTGTCTGCAGAGGCCACCTGTGTTGTGAGGGACTGGGAAGCCATGGCCACCACCACAGTATGCCGGGCTCTGGTGGCACCCAGGTTCTGAGGGCTCTATATAAATCTTCTCATTTAGCCACACCACCTTCCATGATCCCTGAGTACCCAGGAAAATCAACCCTGATAACAGGGTGTACTACATGATGGTCTGTTGGTAGTATTTATAAAATATGAGTTATTTAAAAATGACCTTTAATAATAATATCTCCTCTGATAAGTGGCCTACCAGAGGTCATCAAGGAAGGAGCTCTGCTCAGTGCAGCGGTGATGGGTTTGTAATTTCCAGCACTTTCCATTGCACCATCGAGTGTAGCCTAGTGCTTGGGATGACATATCCTCCAACTCACATGCCAGTTTCCAATTCAGATTACACCTCCTACCCCTATAACCTGGGCCTGTGATTCAACCTCTTGGTCTCTCAGTTTCCTTGTCTGTAAAGTAAGGATGATAATAGTACTTAGCTCAGGAGATTGTTGTGAGTTATTTATGTGAAGCGTTTAGACTGGCGCCTGACGCACAGGAAGTCCCACACCAAGTTCTTCACTATTGTTCTTGTTGCCATCACTGTTTTTACTATCGTAGCAGAGAGCAGGAAAACTTTTTCTGGAAGGTACCCAGTGGTCCTGGGCAGTGGCCAGTTACCCAGCATGTCCCCCGTCGGCATCTTTTCTTGCCTGACACAGCTTTCCCTTGTTCTCAGCCTTCCCCACCCCCGAGGGATTCCAGAAAGAAGAACCAAGAGTGCTGATACTCAGAGCTACCATTTTGCTCCCTGGGAGCCCCCATTGCTGGAGCTTTCTCTAAAGCAAACAAAGAGTGCAGCTGTCTCATCTCAGGGCCACATTTTTTAGGGCAGGTGACAGATGCCATTTCTCAAGTTTGAGTGGATCCGGGCTAATTTTTATTAATGATGTATTCTAAGTTGGATAGCCATGGAACCTTGGCTTATGTCTACTGTGGCTGTTTTACAGGGGGAAAAAATTGTGTGTGTGTATGTGTGTCTCTTTGTCTTTTTACAGGAAAATTTTACTGCAAGCCTCATTTCAGTCACTATAAAACCAATAGCAAACAACGGAAGAGGCGGGCAGAGCTGAAGCAGCAAAGAGAGGTATGTTCTATCTTGAGTGTTGGTGGGACAGGGAAACGCCTTAAGAGGAGGAGGTCAAGCATTCCTCAATGTTAGACCAACTTTTATGGCCCTGGGGGGACAAAAACTACCCTCAGATAAAAAAGAGAGCCTCCACGTCCTGGTGTGGGTGGTTCCTGTGCGTGGTCTGTTGAACCAGCCTCTGGGGTTTGCCCCATTCCAGATGCCAGTTCCCAGGCAAGTGGTTGGCTGGCTTCTCCTGAAGCCAAGGACAGTATTTGCTCAGCCACATAAAAGCCACATGGTCACTCTGTGCCTGGGGCCCACCTGGCCACAAGGTGCTGTTTGCAGGAGGAATACCTGATATAATAAGGTCAGCTTTTCATCCTTCCTGATCCTTCCCCAGGCCCTTCAATGTCAGCGTAAAGACCAGCCCACTGAGTTTATAGATGAGGCAGCGCCCCCTCTGGCAGCTCTGAGCAAATACCTTTTCTCTGGATTGATGAATCACCCACCACCATAAAACCCCACAACCTAAAACTTTTTTCTAATAATACAAGTAATGTAGGCTCAATGTAAAAAAAAAAGTGGGGGGTGGATTTTAAAACATATAAAGAAGAAAAGTTAATCACCGTACTCTGAAAAAACTACCCCGTCCAGACTTTTTTCCTAGGTGAGTGTATCTTAACCCAGTTAGAATCCTATCTTTCTCCACAGTTTCATTTCCTTCTTTTCCTTTTTTCTTTTTTTAACCAACAGTGTATCAATAACAGTTTTCCATGATGTTAAAAATTCTTTGGGATTCTAATTTTTAATGCCTATAACAGATCCTATTTTATGCATGATCAATAACCTATTTCACTGGCCCCGCGTTTGGACTTAATCTTTGGTATTTTTATCTTACAAATGTTTTTTTTTTTTTACAATGAATGTCTTTGTATGCAAATCTTCACCTGTGTTTCAAAATATTATCTTAGTATAAATCACTACAAGTTGGGTTGCTGGTCAAAGGGCAACCATTTATTTTGAAGCCTCATGAACTACTGTATGGTCAGCTTATCTCCCCAAAAGTTGTGCCCATATTTAGCATCATGAGTGGGGCCTGAGACTATTTGGGGGGGTGAACCCACAGTTTGCCAAGTTAGAGTTTCTCTGGCCCTCTCAGTCTGCTTTGTTGGAGGAGTTCTCTGTGAGAGTCGTGGACTAAATGCCCTCATTTTGGTCTCTTTCTCAGAAGGAGGGGACGTGGCAGGAGCAAGAAGTCCCTCAGCGAGACACTCCCACGGAAAGTTCTTGTGCAGTGGCTGCCATTGGCACACCAGAAGGTAGCCCCCCAGGTATCTCCACCTCCTTCTTTAGGAGATCCCTGAGCTGGCCTCTCAGGCTTCAGAGGGACCTGCTCTGCCTCCCCTGGGGCCTGCTTAACTGGATGCAGGGACTCCTGCAAGCTGCCGGCCTCCATTTCAGGGACAATGCTTACAACTACTGCTACATGTACGAGCTTCTGAGCCTTGGGCTGCCACTTCTCTGGGCCTTCGCTGAGGTCCTGGCAACCATGTACCGGGAGTCTGAGGACTCCCTGGAGAGCATTCGAAGCTGGGTGCTCAGGTGCATCCCCATCAAGCTCCAGTGAAGCCCCTGGCTGTCCCAGAGTGCCTTAACATTTCCCTAGTTTAGATGGCGGTGTGTTCGTAGTTTGCAAAGGCTCTGGCCAGGAAGTCTAGTGTCTGTAACCAATTAGCTCCAAGCCAAAGAGTTTCACATTGGCCACCTATGACTGGCCTTGACAGGATGAACATCTAGCCATGGTGCTAGGGCCAGGGATGACATGAAGGATGTGTTTTATAACTGTGTACTGTTTTTTATACCAAAGCGAGCCATATTTCTGGGTTTACATTTCAATTTTTTAACTTTTACTAAGCCAAGAAAAAACATTTTTTTTTCTAAAGTGTCAGTTTTTCTAAACATGGGTTTGAAGTTTATCATCGGTTGTCCAAGCCCCTTCCACATTCTAGTGAGTTGTAATCATCGCTACCTGCAAAGTTAACAGTCTGGGATTTATATACACAAAAGTGAATGTGCAATCTCCTGACAAGTGCCTTTCAACTTTTGTAACTGGATGCCCCTTGTCAACAGTGGGCATGTTTTTTTGGTATGGGTTTTTTTTTTTTCAATATGAAAGCATAATGATTTTGGAAGAAAAGAATAATAGAATGAATGTGTTTCTACAGAAGTACATAGCAATGTGTAGTTGACTCTGTCCTCCAGAGGGAGAACCATTTTTCTCTTTTGTTTTGATCTAAAAGAAACTCAAGGGCTTTTTACCCACACCAAATCATAAGCCAGTGTTGCAGAACCACAGGGTTTCAGAGTGTTGCAAACCTACATTTTTCCTTCCCACTAATGGGCACTGCAGGGAAAGCCCAATGGCACTTGACCCCGGAGATCCATCAAGCTGATGCCATGCTGAGGACAAGCTATTTCAGCTGGTGGCATCTGGGCCTCTAAAAGATAAGGCCGTTCAGGGAGAGGAAGAAGTCACCCCCTCCCTTGGTGTTAGCTGAGCCTGAGGGTGCTTGTGAGCGTGGCCTTGGGAAGCATGGCCTGCCTAGTGGTCCTTGTCTATAGGTGCCCAGCCACATGGTCCTAACGTTTAGGGTCTAGGTTCATGTGACCCTAGCAAAAAGGCTGTTTGCACTCCAGGGGGATCTCTGCAGCATCTTGACCGGCAGAGAGGGCTAGGAATGGACCAGTTCAATGAAATGGGTCCTTTAGAGCAAAAAAAAATGAGTAAGAGGCCCACCTGCATGTTTTACTCAGGGTGTCTGGCAGAGCCCCCAGCTGTCCCCACCCCGACTCTGCCTGGACATGCACAGCTGCAGGATCTGGTTGAGCCACTGAGGAGCTGATAGAGAAAGGCCCTCTAAGGGGTTCAGTGTCCCCACAGTCTCTAGGCTCAAGAGGCCTCTGAGTAAATACTACCTCTAGAGATTCCTCTAGATCCAGGGCTGGAACCTGGTGCATGTGAGGAGCCAGAGTTCTCGAGAGCATGAGATGACAAGTTTCTATGGGGGGCGGGGGAGGAAAGAGGGGTTGCATTTTTTGACAATCACTTCCCCGAAATCCTTGGGGGACAACAGCAACACGACTGTGGCCAAGTCTGTGGGAACCGGCTCCTGTGACTCGCATTGTATTTTTCTCATGTGTTGCTGGGGTTTCAATGTTCTGCACGATGGAGGAGCCCTTGGTTCCTTTGATGTTTGATTTAAATTCTTGAGGTCATGATGTGGACAGCCGTGTTACTGGGATCGCCACCAGCTCAGGGTGGGCTGATCCCCTTTGTGAAGCCGGGGTTTCTGGTCCTAAGGAGACTGGTTTGAATTACTGTGGTAGAGGGGGTGTGCCTGTCACAAGCCTGAGATATTTGTATGTTCTGAGACCGTGAACCTTCCTGGTGAGCAGCACCGAGACATGGGTGGATCCTGGGATGGGGGCAGACACCTCGAGGCCTCTGCTACGTATTCAAGGATAAATATAAGGCACCAGAGTAGAAGGGGGACAAAGAGAATATGGAGGTGGGAGGTCTCTCGGTCGGGTAGAGCAGAGCATGGACAATATGCAGACCACATGTGTCCACTCCTGTCAATCAGCAGCTGGTCACCACCAGAAAGGTTCATCTCTCCTAATTGAGATGACTTGTTGGGAGAAGTTTTCCTTTTTTTCTTTAACGGTTTCCTTCGGTGCCTTTTCCTGTTGTCATCCATTTCTTCTTTGCCCGCCCGCTAAGATCTCTTTTCTGTTTTTCTCTTTCCAACCTTACACTGTGGCCGTCAGTTCATTTCAGCCTTCCAGTGCTACACCCACTTCTTGGCTGACACACTTCTGCTCTAAGGTGACTGATTTTCTTGGCAATTTTCAGAGAGTGGTGCTAACCCCTAACCTGCTTTCCGTACCCCGTCCTCCTCCCCGCCCGCAGTACTGGTTGCGCTAACTGTGAGTGTCTTGCATACTAACGGACTCATTTGGTGGCATGGACGGTTATCGGCGTGGGGTGGTGTTCAGCTCAAAAGCCGTGTTCTAATTTCACTTCCCCTGGAGCCAGCAGCCTGTTCCACACCAAGTGCATGCCCCACCTCTCCTCCGTTCCCTGGGCCAGTTTGAGTGTATGTTTTCCATTGGTACCTGCAAAGCCACTTGCCTTCTTGGGAGGGTTAACCCTGAGACAGTACCATATAGGGAGGGCTCTGTCACCCTTGAAAAGAATGCTTTTGTCTAACAACCTCTGAAAACTGTCCTGCACAGTAGCGTATTTTTATTTTGGTTCTAACATAATTACTAAATGCCATTGACCCAAATTACAGGTGATCCATTTTGTAGGGATTTTTAAAAATATTCGCTCTCAGGCTTCATCACAAGTTTGACCCTTGCTCTGTATGGTGAACATGTCATCACAACTATTCTAGCAAATCCTTCCTCTAGTGGCATCCTGCACCATAGATTCAAGGGGTTGGCGGGGGCTCTTCTTATCCCCCATGGCTCTTAAAGCCCCAGTAATTCAGGAGCTTTAAACAAGGTAGTCACTGTCACAGGAGAGAAATGGCTTTGAGAAATAACCGAGGTCAACCCTAAGCCTGGAGCACCAAGTTTAAATGCTCCTGTGACTCGTCTTAAAGCACATATTCCTGCAGCCTCATTGACCTGGAGCAGCAGGACAATCAAAGTGCTCCTCAAAGAACCAGCATATCATATGCCACGGAGCTGTTGAGGCCAGGCCTCGCAGTCTCAGGCTGCAGTTGGTGTCTGTCCTGCATGGAGCCAGAACCACCCTGACCTCTGAGCCTCTGCCCAGCCCTGCATGCCGCATCCCTCGCTGCATTGGTGTAGAGCTTGGCCAGTACGAAGTCGTTGCTCTTGTCTTATCTTCTCTTGCAGAGTCTCCCTCCCTTTCTAGAATGTCTACCAAAGAGAGCCTTCCTCCCTCTCAGCCTCTCTTTAGCTAGCCTCCCTCTCTCATTGCAAGGCATGTCTGTGACCTTTGGTGATCATTTACAGTGCCACGTGGAACCCTGTATTTTGCACACAGCAAACAATGTTTAGCTTTATTTATGGTATTTGATGCTGTAAATGAAAATAAATATGGTTCTTTATAAAGCTCATTGTTTCCTCTCTTCTTTGCCATGGAAACTCCTAAAAACTCAAATACAGGGAGTCTGTCTTCCCTAAACCGCTGGTGGGACTTGCACTTGTGGTGACACGGGACTCTCTGGGGCTGCGCTGGGACACTCCAAAATATTACCCAGGGGTAATATTTGGAAAATGTCACCAACACTCTGGGGCCAAGCTTTGGGATCTCTTCCTTGAAAACTCATGGTACTCTGCTATTCTAGATGCTGGGCAGAGTAGGTGAGGGTCAGTGTGACTTCTGCTCTTAGGAACAGACTGTAGACTGCTCCCTGCACCCATTTCCCCCACACATCCCAGCCAGAGCCCTGATGAGCTTTGCCAATGAACTTTCAGGATTTAGGCCCCTAGAGAGCAAAGGCTGGGTCTTGAACATTTCACACAGCTCCAGCTGAGTGGTGGATGGAAGGTAAGGAGGAAAGAGGGATACCTGTCAGGATGGCAGTGAACACAGCAGGTGTGCTCTCATCACATGGAAAGCCGTTCATCATCCCCTACCCACAAAAGTTCCAATCATTCAGCACCTTCTGAGTCCAGCTCCCAGGACAGGCTCCACCCAACTGCAAGCTGTGTTCAGGGGAAGGATTTGGAGCCTCACTCTGTTAGGCTACATAGTGGGCAGAGACCTGCCATCGCCAGACCTGATGTAGCTGGATTTCTGACACTGGTATGACAAGCCACCTGTGAACTTCAATGAGGGCTCCTGCACCTCCAAAGGGACAGATTTGGGGCCCTGGTCTCCAGCTTAGCTGCTGGTGCCTGGATCTGCCTTCAGAGCCAACTCAGGTCATGACCTAGGATCTTGTACTCCTTCCCTTCCATCCAAGGAAAGACGTGAGGGACCGGAAGCCAGCTAGCAGGTTTGACAAGTGTCTCATTCCTTTACTTACCTATCCTAGCCATTACTCTAGATTCTGGGGATACAGCAGGGGACGACCCCAAAATCCCTATATCTCCCTGCATTTTAGAGATATGTGTCTCAGAACTGCTGTCCTAGATCTGATTCATCTTATTTGTTTACCTGTGTTTGTTCTATTACTCAACTAATCATTACTGAGCCTCTACCGTGTGCTGGGAATACAGCAGGGAATGAAACAGACAAGAATCTTCCACTCTGTAGAGCTCAGGGTTTGGTTTTGATTTTTCTCCAGAGTTGGATTAAAGCAACATTCTTCCAAGTGTGATGCCCCAAGAGTTGCTTCACAAATAGAGCTCCATAGTCACAAAGTTTGAGAGATGTTTTATACTGATCTTGCCAATCCTTCTGAATCTTGAGGATGCACAAGATTCATTAGCATGTTGAAGGTCTCCCTAGGAGTCCTCTGGTGAACATGCTTAATTAACTGTTCATATTGGCTTCCCATTCTTACTTGGAAATTTTGTTGTTGGTTTGGTTTGGATTTTACAATCTTCAGAAATTGCATTTGGTAGAATATTCTTTATCCACACTAAATTAAAGACTTACATTCTAAAAGTGAAATAATATAATTAAATATTAAATTATAATTTCCCACAACCACAGACTCAGTATACACACATCTATGTATTTGTGTATGTGCGTATATATGTGTGTAGGTTTATGTATACATACAATAGAATTAAGTATTAGCTCATGGAGTGACAATTCTCTAAATTTTAATATCTGTAAAAGAAAAAAAAATAGGTAGACAAAACATGAGACAAATCTGACTATGCGTTTTTTGAAAACAGCATATAATAGTAAAATTTAAAATCTTTTAGGCATACTGAGAAAAAATCTGAATTAAATGGAATAACAAAGAAGTCAAATGCCATGGTATTTAAAGAGTTCCTTGACTGCTGGCCTTCTCAGGGCTCTCCCCCAGTGGAAGTGATCCATTCGTATTTATTTATGACCAGAAGATAAATGCACAAAGGCTGCAAACAAATAATTTCACTTAAGCAGATTAAAAAGCTAAACACTAAGAAGAAAAAAGAAAGCATTTACAAAAAGTTCTTTCTTGGCTTCCAAAGGAATGTAAATTACTTATGCTGTACCACCAACTTAGCAAAAGAAAAAAGTAAAGTAGATTGCAAGAGAAAAAGTATTGAGTTAAACATACTCTGGGACAGTCTTTTACTGAAAAGAAATATGGCAATTATTATTAAGATCCAGAAGCTGGGCTCAGTGGTAGACACCTGTAATCCCAGCAACTCTGGAGGCTGAGGCAGGAGGATCGCAGGTTCAAGGCTAGCCTCAGCAACTTAACGAGTCCCTGTCTCTAAATAAAATATTTTTAAAAGGGCTGGAGATGTGGCTCAGTGGTCAAGCACCCCTGGGTTCAATCTCCAATACCCCCCCCCAAAAAAATAGATTCAGAAAAGGACTATGACCTCTCAGCCCAATAATCCTACCCCAGGGAATGTATCCTAAAGAAATAACCCAACAGAAGGAATAAATCTGTGCTGCTTGAATACTAAGTAGAGTAAGTAGGTCAACCAGAGTGGGGGAGCTGCTCTCCTTTATTTCTGTAAACTCATTCATTTTTATAACTTTTGTTTTCAATTCCTTAAATAAGTAAAAGAAAGTTTCTGCCTCCTCCACTGGCCCAGCTATTACACGGCGAGCACTTTCTCTGTGTAGCACTGGGCCAAGGACTTAATACACAGCTGCTCATTAGCACTTCACCTCCTGGTGAAAACCTTGAGGTCAGCACTAATGGTAAGAAGACCCTATTAAAGTAGCTCACTGGTACCAGAGAGGCAAGTCCATAGCGACCTCTTCAACTGTGAAGGCTCAGAGAGGCCACCAGGGCCCCGGCTCAGAGCCAGGCGCCTGTCCTAAGGGTCCTTGGTGTATGGTAAGGGCCCTGGACTTGGCCAAGGCCCTGGCTTTGACTCCTGGCATTTTGTTCTGATTTGGGGACATTGGCCAAGCTCCCTCTGCAAACTGGGATCAAACAAAACCTCAGCATAGCATTTCGTGAAGGTGAAACCCATGAGCTGAGCACTCGGCCCAAGCCACAGCACTCTGCTGAGTCCTGGATAACACTTGGTAATGAGCCCAGGAAGACTTTCTGCAGACCTCTAGATCAGCTGGGGCTTCGAACACCTGCAGGACATCTTCAGGCTGAGGACTAGGCAGAGCCCCAGTGCTCACTGGGCAACCCCATCTATTTCTTTCTAGTTCTCTAGCTTCCCCAGCCACCCACCTACCGACCCCCAGACCTCAGTTCTAGAGCCCCCTTCCCTCCCTCCACTGCCAACAGGACTTGAGTTTGGTTTAGAGAGTGCCCAAGTCACAGTAAGAGGGAGCACAGTCCTGGCTCTGTTTCCAGCCATTGACCCACCACCTCCCTATCACACCTCCACCTGCACTCTACCAGGGCGTCCAGCTCAGACCACCTCCAATCCTGATTTCCCCTGAAATGGGCTCCGTCCTTGGCTGCCTCCATTGCTGCAAACAGCAATTCCCCTCTTCCTGTTGCTCATCCTCCAATGCTGAGGGCCATTCTTGATTCTGCTTTCTCTTGGCCCCACATCCAACCCATCAGCAAATCCCAACAACAGCAGAATATGTCGCCTCCTCGCCACCTTCACACTAGCTGGCCTCAGCCACTGTCGTTCCTTCCTGGATTATGGAAGTGGCCTCCTAGGAGGCTCCCCTACTTCTCCCTCCACCCCTCAATCTATTTTCAACACACATATGGAGGGATCCTCTAAGTCAGGTCTCCTGCTCAGAGATCCTCCCCACCCCCAGCTCCCCAGTTCCTGCCTTGTAAACTGGGCTTGTAAAAAGGCAGACATTGGTTCAAGAGTCTCTCTCCAGCCTGGCCTTGCACTCTGACCTATTCCTCTCCTTCACACACACTATTCCAGACACACTGACCTCCTACACCTGGTGCATTCTGCCTTAAAGCCTTGGCACTGGCTATTCCCTCTGCCAAGAATACCCTTCCCAGTATCCATATGGCTGCTCCTTGCTCACCTTACCTACTAGGGTTTTTTCCCATAGTATTTATCACCTTCAGCTCTGCCGTGCAACTCAGTCATTGAGTTGTGTATTGTTTATGTTTTGCTCTGTGCTAGGGCATAAGCTCCCTAAGTCTGGGATCTCTGGTTATTCTGAGTACTTACGTAACCCCAACAGGTAGAACACACAGGGGCCCTCAGGAAATGCTCGGGATTATAGGCTCTCTGGTCTGGGCCTCAGGCTGGGAGCCTGTTGGAGCCAGGGAAGTTCTTGCTGGCATCCTTCGCAGCTCAGGAGGGAGGCCTGGAGGAGGAGCTTCCTGCTGCCTCTGCAGACCCTTTGATTTTGACAGGAGCTTTGGTTTTGCCTTCTGAGGGGAAGCATCCCCACATGATTCTCTTGGCAAAGTTGGGTCCATACAGTGACAGGTGGGCTTGGGTGGCTTCTGGCAGGGCTAGGCTAGAGGTTGGCGGTAGAGAGCAGTTCCATTGGGAACTGGAACAGCATGTTCCACTTTGGGACATGATAGCCCATGACACCAGGCCATACACATCCTCCCACCTCCTTGCTGTCCCCTGCTCTAGGGTCCTGACACAGAAATCCAGATGACAGGATAAAAACAAGGGGGGATGATGCTACCAGCACCTGGGCCAGGGTGGAGCGAAACCTGCCACTAGAGCCCCTACACCAAGACATGTGGGTGGCTCAACTTGGTTTTGATCTTATAAACCTAGTTGTCCTGTACATGTAACCAAGGCCAAGGGAGGCTGCTGTCCACTAGCAACTCCTCAAGTTATGTGCGTGTGTGTGTGGGGGGGGGGGGGTGCCTAGAGCACCAGAAGATCAGCTGTGCCCTAAACCTGCTGCTGTTGGCCAAACAATCCAGGTCCCTTGCTGCTCTGCAGCCTACAGAGCCATGGGAAAGACACACATGAACTCCCAACTCTTGCACCAAAGGAGGGTGGTTCAGGGGGAGCCTCCTCTGAAGGCTGGGGCCTATTGTAGGCCCTCCTATGGCTGCCGTTTCCCCAGTGCTTGGCCC